TTTGTTGTTAAAAATGCAAATAAATTAATGCATTTAAGCAATAAAATAATAATCTTTGCAACCGTACATTTATCGACGAAATAAAATTGGGCGGTGATACGCGACATTCATGGGAGCGGGGGTACCCAAAATCCAATTTTTTTGTAAATTTGTAATTACTCGAGCAATTTTTCACATATAAACTTCTTTCTTTGTGCAAATTAAACTTAAGACCACATACTTTAATGCTGTATGTATATAAAAAATTATTTTTTTTAGTATTAAAATGAAGTTTAATCGAAGCATTCAACCAATTTTTCTTAATTTCATGACTACTGTATTCAACATATTTTCAAAACTATTGTTCACCATGTTATCAGCTGCATAAGTACTTGAAACTTTGAAAAAAACCTTTTTTTAATATAACAATTAATGTCCGATGGCCCATTGACTTGAAAAAATATTCTATACATAGGAAATTGACAGTGGGCAGGGGTACCCGACACTCCCGTACGTCTAATCCTCTGAAAAATCGGTGATAAATGGGTGGAATTGTTCGCGAGAAGTCGAATTTTAAATATCTGACTATTTTAAAATTCAATTTCACAGGAACTTTTAAGTACTTCTTTGCGTCTGATTTCGTAGCATAAAATATTGTCTGCATTAATTAATTAGCATACTTAAGTTAAGACCTTTAGGATTGCATCCTAAAAAGATATTCAGGGTGGTCATTTTTTTTTTATTTTTCCAACTGTGTTTTATTTCTTGAAGGATATAAAAAAAGCATTAATCACTAAAATCGCAAATGTTTTATAATTTCCTAGCAACTCTTAAAACACTGTAGAGAAGAGCAAAGAGTTTTTAGGTTAAAAGAACTAATTCGTAAAAAATGGCTTCAGAACAAAATACTATTTCATGAAAACATGAATTAAAATTTTTTAATAACTCCTCATATTTAACCAATCTAATTTTTTTTTATCCAAAATCATTTTGAATATTGATGAAAATTAAGTTCTCCAGTTAAGTTTGTCTTCTAAAAGTAGTGAAGTAGTTAGTAGTCACTACATTTGTAATAAAGAAGTAGATGTAGTTAACTACAAAGAGTTAGTTTTTCTAACCACAGGTTTAAACCATCTAAGTAGTAGGTCAGCTATCGAACGCTTACTGAACTAAAATAAAAAGCATGTCATACTTATAGAACAATTTATCTAGCTCTAAAAGTATGAATATTGTATATTTTTCTCGCATCACTTTTAGGGGTCATACAAAAACTGATTTCGTAATATGCGTTCATTTTAAACACGTGTTCCACCTCTCTTTGGTGCTTTTCTTTCAGTTCCTTGTCTCTAACTACATATATGTTTTTAAGAGGGGATAGAACATTCGCCTTCTGATAAGGTAAAGTGAGTTCGAATCCCAGCGATGGCTTGCACCCCAAGAGCTCAAGCTCAAGAAAACTGAGATGGGCATAGTAGGTCTTGGTCCTCTATGGGCTGTTGCACCACTGAGTTTCGTTCAGTAGTGGGTCATTTTTTTTACTCTGTAATAAAATATTGCTACATAGCTTTTACTTCTCTGAGATTTTTTCTTCTCAGTAACTACGGAACTTTCGCAGTTTCTGGAGGTTACGTTTTGCGCCTAATCATGCATCACGCTATTCACATTCAATGATTAAAGTTATTCGATTATCTAATTTAAAAAGTTCTCTCGGGGATTTATGAAAGTATGAAATTTTTTTTTAATGAGTAAGGCTTGAGCCGCGAAGGCTCAGGGGATAAAGCGTTCGCCTTCCAATGAGGTGAACCGGGTTCGAATCCCGGCAATAGCTGGTCGATACGAACTCCGCATCCGGCTTGCACCGACCACAGAGCTCACGTCAAATATCCTTAGTGGTAAACGGATCATGGGTTAGAGTCCCTTTGCCGTCAGGCTAACTGTGGGAGGTTCTAGTGGTCTTCCTCTCCATGTAACACGAATGCGGGTCGGTACCTTTAAAGAGGCAACGAAGGCAAATTTCTCTCAGTACTTGATCCAGGAGTTCCCTTGTCTTCTGGATTGGGTTCCAAATGACAAGGCTACGGAGTTGAACATGGTAGTCATAAACTCAAAAATTGGGTCTTCTGTTCAACGACGTTATAAAAAAATAAAAATAAAAAAAGATATCGTTTAAACAACAAACAATAGAAGATCCATAACAGCTAATGAACAATTGATAAGACAGAACAAGCAAACGGCTGAAAAGCTGCCCGCGAATCCATTTCTCCCTTTTTGTAAAAAGGGAAATTGTATTTATTGGTTTTATCTTGTGTTTGCCATGCAGTTAGGGATGGTGAAACTAATTAATTTTGCTGAGTAATTGTTCCCGAATCCGCCCCGAGACAGATATTTAAAGTAAACTCTCCTCCATTGATTTTTCTTTTGGAACAGAAAAGGTGTGTGTTTACGAGTAAAAAGGGATTTCTAAAGCATGAAACTCACAAAGCGAGTCGCAATTCATCAAAATAGTTTCCGTGTTGTAAGGGATTAAGAGGACTAGTCAATGAATCAAACTGTCTGCTTTCTAAATACAAACGGTTCATAAATTGTGATATTTTTTTATTGGGGTTAAAAACAATGAAAGGTTTTAATAGCGGGTACGCTAAATATTTCGCTGACAGGCAAATCGATTAATCAAAATTGCCGGTAAAAACTGCTGCCATGCGTTTTCTACCAATACATCTTCTCAGCAAAATTTCAAGTCAGCATTGCAAAAAATCTTCTTGAATTGGTAAAAACAGATTCGCTTCATTTCGATAAATCTCTTAAGAAGATAATTGTCCTTTCGTGCATCCTCATTGGATGCAAATATCACGTGATATGAGTCTTAATGGACAGTGAAAATGAAGATATCTTTTTTTTCTGTTATCAGCTTAAAAATCAAGGAAGTCATAATAATATTTATTTGTAATTTATTTTTCTATTCTTTATTTAAAGGTAAATATTCTGTAATATTTTTTATAAGCCCATGTAGAAATCATTCTTCGTTAGGATCGTGATTATTAATCAAAATTAAGGGTTTCCCAAGTCAAAACTTTTGATGGATTAATCTTGATGGTAACCATCAATAATTCCATCATGAACCATTATATTTTTTGATATTAACCAACATGAGTAGTCATCACCTCAATGTAGGAATTCGGACAGATTTGTGATGGTAGAGCATAAGAATAGCAACTTGTTTCGATGGTTTGTTTATGTTGAACCATCGCGAATTTCCATGATAGTATCTTAGAAATCAAATGTTGGAAAGATCATGAACAACCACCATCCCAATGTAGGAATCTAGACTGATTTATGATGGTCCCACATAATAAAACCCAAATTGTTCTGATGGTATATTTCTGAGAACCAACTAGATTCCTCATTAAACCATCATGGAAATGTATGTCTAACTCCGTAGCCTTTTAATTTTGAACCATACAGAAGACAAGGTAACTCCTGGATCAGTACCCCAAGAGGTATTGATTTGTTCAGGGAGCATGGAGGACTTTGCGACTCGACAGATTTAAGGTGCATCAGTCACCATTTACTACACAGGGAGTCTTCAGTCGGCTTGGGATCGAACACACGAACTCTTGGACATGGGCCCAGTGCCCTATCAACCAGGCTATCCCGGGCCTCTAATTCTTCGATTTAGACAAAATATCCTGCACAATATACGTTTCTTCCCGTATGAAAAGAATCGAATTTTGATTTCGCGTGACATATTCAGGGTACGTAGCCAAATCTTTTAACAAAAAATAAGCACCTTTTAAGTATTTTTTTTAACACTAAAATATTTTTAGGCACTATATGCGTTAACAAAATGCAAAATAATTTTCAAAGATTTTACATAATCGTGGTCAATTGACTAGTTTCTGACAAAGAACTGTTTTCTTGATTACATTAGCCACCATAAAAAGACCTAGAGATATTTCTCCCTTCGATTTTAGAGGATGGAAAATGAAGTATGAAATTGAGAATATCTTGCAAAATGCAGCAGAGCTGCACTTGAGAGTGCAATAATCTCATCGAACCCGGCTCAGTATAAGCACATGCGGATAAGCAAGTATTTCATCAAAAATATAAAATGATTGGCTCTTTCACACGCTACTGACCGACGGTACGCCGAAAAGTATTGTGTTAGAATGAATTGTGAAATTTGCATTCGTTTTGAAAATCTACGTAGTAAAGAAAAATCTCATTTTCGAAAAAGAAAAAAATTAAGCCCTTTTTAAAAAATTTCAATACAAAAAGCACCCTTAAGGACTTTTGAGAAATGAAAATAGAAAATAAGCACCTTTAAGGACTTCTTAAAAATGCTACGCACCATGATATTTTTATCCTTCAATTTAGAAAACTACAAATATCAAAGATTCATCACGTAGTTAAACTTAAGAGCATTTGCTGTCAGTAAGAGTTGATTTGGCGCAGATTAACGATCCTGTGTAAGAAGGCTGTCTGCATAAGAGACTTGTAATAGAGGGCCCATTAATGCGCGGTCCATAAAAGGGGGTCCCCTTTCGCTTTATGGGGTGGTCGTAAGGAGAGACCTGATTCGAAAAGGGGTGTCTCACCTGAGAGCTATTCTGTAATGTTCGATAGCCAGAAATCTGTCGCCAACGTCCTTCTTGTAGTTGGCGTAGTTGAAATGAACTTTGGCGTTGTGGGGGACTGATTCTAGTCCTGATCTGAATAAGAAAAGGAAGAAAAAAAACATGTAGTTTATTAAAAATGAAATAAAAATTTTATTTTATAAACATACGTTCATAAGGATTTTAGGCCTGCATCATTTTACGAGTATCAGCAAAAAATCTATATTTTAAATTTTTTAAAAAATTCCAAAATGAGAAATGACAGAAAAGAATGAAAAAAAGCTTCATGTTCTTTTTGGAATATTATCTAACCGCAATTTTCCTTACAGTATAAGTATGATAGCTATTTGACAGTTTTTCCTTTTTGAGTGGTTATGTATGAGACATATTTATTATGAGACATTTTTTCCAACATATTTTTGTAATACATTTTTGAGAGGAAGCTATACAGTGGAAGTTGCTTTGACGGACGAATTTCGTTCTACTTCCATTGGTATTCTATTCCTAAATTTAAAGAATGGAAAAAATCGGATCTTCACGTTCTAGGACTCAATCTTAATGGTTCGAAGGGATGACCTCAAATATGCTAATTAATTAGTGCAAACGATATGTAACGAAGTTAATAAATCAGACACAAACGTTCTTTCTTGGAATAAACATTTTTTTTCATACGGATTTGGATTTTTAATCCCCAAAATATCAGAGGTAGCCGGAATCTGGGAAACAGAGCCCCAATAGTTTGGCCAGGAGAACCGTTCAAAGTTTTGATCGTGCAATATTAATTTTACTTTTTGCGTATTTCATCAACGTTTTAAACGAATTGAAAAAACGTTTGCACACACTTATAAAATTCTTTATCTCAACATAATTCCACGCAAAATATAACTTTTAGTAAATGTTTATTATTTTCCATTTATTTTATTTAATAAGAGTCGAAAAGAAATTTTATTATAAGGCATACAAATTTTTACATCGTTTTAAAGATTGTAATTTTAAATCTCGAAATTCAAAATTTGAGCAAAATCGGTCGAATAGTCCCTGAGAAATCGAATTTTTAAAAAACGTCATATTTTTATAGTACAATTTTTCTGAAACTGACAGACTGATTTCACTCAAATTTTGTATTTTACCATTTAAAATTACACTCGTTAAAATAATGTAAAAAAAATTATACCTTATATTTTAAAAAATATTTCCGACTCCTATTAAATCAAATAATAAAAAATAAGAAATATTTGCTAAAAATTATATTTTTCTTGGAACTATCTTTGAATAAACGAGTTTTATGATTGTCTGCAAACATTTATGAATTCGTTTTAAAATCTCTCCAGATATGGTAAAATACGCGGAAAGTCATTAAGGGGTCTAAACTTTGGACTACTCTCCTGACCTATCTATAGGGGCCATATGTCCGAAATTGCACCTACTTCTTATATTTCAGTGGTCAGAAATCCGAATTCATTGAAAAAGGAACGGTATGTTTATTCTGAAAAAATATGTTTTTGTGCCTAATTTAATACAGGGTGAGTAGCCACACTTTTCAACAAAAAATAAGCCCCTTTTAATTACTTTTCAAGCACTCAAAAATATTTTTAATCACTTTCGAAAAAAAAATCCTAATTAGGATCTGCGCAGTAATAAAAATAATTTTTTTCTTCTATCGTTTAAAGTTCTTAATTTATAAACGTAAAATCAAAAAAAAAAAAAAATCAATAACATTTAAAAACTTTACATAATCATGTTGAAATAACTACTTTCTGATAAATATTGCAGAGAAAATTTTGAAAAATCATGAATTTTTTGTAATTCGGAACGTCAATCGATACGGCAAAGAAAAAATCTCTTTTTTAAAGATAGAAAAGTAGGCGCTTTTTCAAAACCCGAATAAAAAAAGCACCTTCAAGGGCTTTTAAGAAACGCAAATCGAAAATAAGCACCTTTTAAAAATGCTGTGCACCTTGTAGTAACTTAAAATATTATCTGCACTAATTTATTAGCATATTTAAAGCCACCTCCTCGAACCATTAAGATTGTGTCTAAGAATTTGAAGATCCTATCATTAGATCAAAAGTTATTCAGGTTGGTCCGTTTTTTTCCCCGCACTGTACATCTTTCCAACGCTTGGAATTTTCACAAGGATCCGAAACTAATCCGTCAATTTAAGGATCCGTCAATCTTCATAAGGATGTGTAATGAAATATTTCTCATCGGTAAAAATATTTAATTAGTTTTACACAAACTAAGGCGTTTTCGGACTCCATATTTATACTAAAATTAAATACGCTATTCATCAATACGCTAAAATTAACATTTCTACGTTATTCGTGAGATGCATTACGTCATTTATGAGCATGCGCTGTATCGCTCAAGTCACGTGGAAGTTTAGCGTACCGTTACCGTGTAACGTTGACGTAACGGAAAAGCTCTCTAATATAATGGTTTCCCTTTCAGAGCACATCTCAATATCTGAAGTATTTAAATCCAGTATTGAAACAAATTCCAAAATTTTTCACACTTTGTATAATCAAGACTATAAAACATTTTGAAATTTTGCAAAANAAAAAAAAAAAAAAAAAAAAAAAAATTATATCCTAAAGAAATGTGTTTTTTCCCCTCCAGAATTTATGAAAATAACACATTAAATACTCACTTGACCAAAGCTTCTCTCGACAACCAAACATTATTTCTAGCCATTGTTTTCACAACAAACAACATGATTAGGAAAAGTGCACCAACGCGGCAGAGCCAGGCAATAATGGCTCCCCGTTGCATTAACCGCTGTAAGCCATGACTCACCAGAATACAGAAGCCAAGACTGAAAATAAAATAAATAAAGGAATTACAGTTTCTGCCAATAATCGTTTCTGCAATCTATGTGAAATGTATACAGTTAAAATTTTTCTTCATTGGAAGATGTCGAAAAATTTTGATGTGTCGCTACAGACTGCAATGTTTAAAAAAGTGGCGACAACTTATCAAAGAGTTTATCTTAAATTATTCTTAGAGTTTTTCTAAAAGTATATAGAGATATAGATTTTTAAATTTTATAGTAGTTTAGAGTTTATTTTAAATTATATAAGACTTTAATTTTCACGTCAATTTTTAGAAATCGGTTGGTCTGTTGTAATACAAATATTTAATTAGTAATAGCTTACAATTAAGAGGCGACTCTTGATCTAGGGCGACTTATTTCTTTTAGGTTTTTATTAGTTGATATAAATCATTTTTTGAAATCTAACTATATATATAACATTTGTAATTAAAAGTATATTATTGTAACAAATTTGGCGAGTTCACATTTGCAATTTAATATTTTGGTAAAAAATATACTTGAGCGTGCCCCTTGGCGAAATTGGCGACTTATGTTTGGCGCCATTCCTGTTTTCGCGGAAAAGAAGAAAAGAAGAATGGCGGCCAAAACATAATGATATTTCGAAAAAAAAAAAAAAAAACAATTTGGAAAATTTCAACAAAACATCGGCCAAAACTTTATAAAATTGCAATGAACCCAATATAAGCAAAATTAATAAACCCAATAAAATGCATTTTGAATCGAAACAAAAAATTAATGGAGTAAGCACAGTTAAAAAAGGAAAAAAAAATTCATTTCTTCATTAAGCTTGAATATCCTCCGATTTAGGTGCACAGAATTCTCTAATAGCAGATAGATACTGTCTAAATTTATCATGAATAAAATCTGTGTACCTCCATCGCCTATTAAATTCGGCGAAATACGAATTAAAAAGGGCGTCTGTGGTACCGGATTGGTGGTGAAATTTTTGTCTAAAGTCACTTTTTATGACTGCCCACATACCTTCGATCTTATTGACCAGAATCAAAAGTAACCTTACCAGCCGATATCCAACGTAGAACTAATGGACCTCTAACATTACATATACCATTGAACATTTAAAAATAACGTTAAAATCTAAACCAATCAGAATCACGATTGGGTTTCAACATCGCCCAGCTTGGCGATCAACCGTGATCACAACTTGGCGAGAATCAAGGGGCACCCTCAATTGTAGTCTACCCGTAATATCTGACACCGATTTAAATAATTATGCAATCTTAAATTGTAACGTAGAATTACGTTTTTCTAATAAAAATAATACTAAGAAGAACAACAACAATTCTCTTAAACTCAAAAAGTAAAAAACTAATAAAATTAAAAACGTAATAACAGTATAGGTAATTACCTTTAAATTAGGAAAACAGAAATATTTATAGGAAAACAGTACTTATGACTTACATAAATTTTATGCTGATGATAACCTAACAGATACGAAAATGAATTGGGAAAACTGGATCCTACCATGTGATTTTCCGACCAATAGAAAAGCACAGTCAACAAAAGAAAACTGCTACGCCATTCTTTAGATTTTAGATATACTTTGATAAATATTTATTAAATAGATTATACATCAACTGATAAAATCTTTACATTTTTCAGCTAAATTTAAAGTAAATTAATCGTATCTCAGACTATTATTTTTATCAAATGAGTAGCGATATCTGCGAATTATTTAGAAATTAATATTACATCTAATAAACAGTCTAAATAATAAATTTTCAAATAATAAGTAGTCAATAGAAAAAATAATGAATCAATTGAATTAATTAACTTCTATTGATAGAACAAATAAAATATAACAAATATGTTATATTTTAAGTTAAGGTTCTTTTTTAAACGCGTTGGGACCAAAAGTTGTTGGGGGTGATTAATTTTTTTGCTCAAAATCAATATTATTTATAAATAAAAATCGCAATACTATTAACAAAGCCCATAAACAATATCCAAATAGATCAATGTTGCTTTTTTCCCTTTGTTTTTTGCATTATTTTTCGAAACATTGTTTGTCCGTTAATTTTATCAAATTTTAATATCAAAATGGCTTAAAATAATGATTTACTAAAACTCTATATTAAATGCGAATTCATATTTTAAACAAATAAATTTCAGTAAGTAAATCCCCCCCTTATTGGAGTCGTATTTGAATAGTTTTCAAATAAAATATCCCAAGTTTATCATATTTTTCCACTATAAAATCTAGAATATAAAAAATGGGGATTGTTTACAGGAATAAAACAAGGAGGAAAACGATTTTATTTTAACATTCCTCTTTTGCTTCAGTTTCTTCAAGCGGATAAGTTTCGAGCAAACAATAATGCAGGGAAAAAAAACATTCCTTGTGTCGAATAAATTCTAATTTATATTTTGTACTGTTCTTTCTTACCTGTATGGCAACTTCTTTTTGGAAAACAATTCCCATTATTTGTTTTATATTTTTTTTTCTTCTTGGAAAGAGATATTGTTGCTGTTTTGCCTTCTTTTCTGCATAGTTTAATCTTTCTCGTATTTTATATCAAATGCGGAAGGAATACTGCAAATATTACTTTTATTTCATCTGTGGATATCTAAACTCTTTTGCGCAGACTTTTGTCTTCTGCGCAATAATAATTCGAGCGCAAGATTTAGCTTTACCTACAGCAAAACGAGATTTTTTTTAAATCTCATTAAAGCTTCTAATACATTCTATTTTATTTGCAGTTATGCAATATAAATTTTTTCTTTTTTAAATGCTCTGCCTAACTTTCTTAATATCAAGTTTTTTCTTCAATTTGTATTCCTTTCCATTTTATGTATTGTGAATTTGTCGTACATGGCCAAAGGAAAGAAAAGTGCACTTTTATTTCATTTAGATATGCTACACAAAAGATGTTATTTCCTAAATTCTTATATATTTAAAGCCGAGTTTTTGAAAAGGTTAACTTTGCGAATTTTTAAAATTCAAATTTAAAATAAGTCTTGTTGATTACAAATTGAATTTATCTTATATTCGTGTTATATTATATTGAATAAATTTCTAATGAGAAGATTTAAAAATTAATTCCCACTAGCGAAATCTGGTGTTGACCAGTATTTCTTTTATTTATATTTATTGAAACACCTAATTGTTGGAAAAAAGGATTAATTAACCAATTTCACAACGAAGATAATAAATTAAAGCTTTTCATTTAAGTTATTCATTTGCTTTAATTCTGAAATCTTATTTCTAAAACAAAATCCTATTTAACCAAGTTTACATTTAAAGATAAATTACAGCGTTTATGTTTAACATATTTGGATATTTTCAGTAATTTGATAAAGAAAAACATAATTTCATCAATTTTTAAACTAAGATGATAAATCAAGGAGTTTCATTTAACTTATTGGAATATTTTCTGTGCTGATCGCTGGAAAATAAATCATTAGTTAACTAAGTTTATAACTACGATAATCAATTGAAGCATTTCACTTAACTCATTTATATGGTTATATTCAGAAATCTTATTGCTTAAAAATTTTCCTATTTTTACCAAGTTTGCAACAACGATAATAAATTAAAGCATTTTGTCAAACTTCTTTGAATATTATTTGCAATCTGATTGTTAAAAAAACATTAAACCAATTTTGCAACTTAGATATTTATGTAAAGTGTTTCATTTTAACTTATTTGAATATTTTCTGTACTCATTGCTAAAAAACATTTTTTGATCAAGTTCACAACTAAAGTAACACCATTCGTTAACCAAGTTAACAACTAAGAATGACGAAATAAAAATGACATAATATGTATACAACTACTGAAACAAGACTTAACCGTAACATATACCGAGATTCCAAACCATAATTTTTAACATATTTCTATTCTCAAAATAGATATATTATAATCCATTTTTTTAAGAAATTAAATAAAGGGAATATAAAAATATATATATATTTTTTAAAATTCGTAGTCTTTTAGTCGAATGCTTAGCTACAGATTAACACTGATTAAGGTTTATATATCTGCGGTTAAAATCGTGCTTTTAACATCCAAAATAATGGACAATATAAAAATATACTCTTTTTTTAAATTTGCAGTCTTTCAGTTGAATGCTTAGCTACAGAAACACTGATTAACGTTTAGATATCTAGGGTTAAAATCGCGCTTTTAACGTCCAAAATAATGGACATAATAAGAACANTGCTGTTGGATGTTGTCCGCCATTGCTTCTGTGGTTAACGTCACGTTGTAATCCAACTGCAGTTGAGTTGGACGGCAATTGTAGTTCAAGATGAGCGTTCGAGGACGTATACTATCAAACTCGCAAATGGACCAATCAGAGGTTAGCGCTGATTTCCAGCTGACGGCGTCCTGTCCTAAGAAACCAGGCCTTTGACAAAATAAAAATGACATAATATGTATACAACTACTGAAACAAGACTTAACCGTAACATATACCGAGATTCCAAACCATAATTTTTGACATATTTCTATTTTCAAAATAGATATATTATAATCCATTTTTTTAAGAAAATAAAGGGAATATAAAAATGTATATATTTTTTTTAAAATTCGTAGTCTTTTAGTCGAATACTTAGCTACAGATTAACACTGATTAAGGTTTATATATCTGCGGTTAAAATCATGCTTTTAACATCCAAAATAATGGACAATATAAAAATATACTCTTTTTTTAAATTTGCAGTCTTTCAGTTGAATGCTTAGCTACAGAAACACTGATTAACGTTTAGATATCTAGGGTTAAAATCGCGCTTTTAACGTCCAAAATAATGGACATTATAAGAACATTTTTTTTAAAAATTTGTAGTCTTTCAGTCGAATGTTTAGCTACAGATTAACACTGATTAAGGTTCATATATCTGCAGTTAAAATCGTGCTTTTAACATCCAAAATAATGGACAATATAAAAATGTACTTTTTTTTAAAAATTTGCAGTCTTTCAGTTGAATGCTTAGCTACAGAAACACTGATTAACGTTTAGATATCTAGGGTTAAAATCGCGCTTCTAACGTCCAAAATAATGGACATTATAAGAACATTTTTTTTTAAAAATTTGTAGTCTTTTAGTCGAATGTTTAGCTACAGATTGACACTGATTAAGGTTTATATATCTGCGGCTAAAATCGCGCTTTTAACATCCAAAATAATGGACAATATAAAAATGTACTTTTTTTTTTAAATTTGCAGTCTTTCAGTTGAATGCTTACTACAGAAACACTGATTAATGTTTAGATATCTAGGGTTAAAATCGCGCTTCTAACGTCCAAAATAATGGACATTATAAGAAATTTTTTTTTTTTAAATTTGTAGTCTTTTAGTCGAATGTTTAGCTATAGATTGACACTGATTAAGGTTTATATATCTGCGGATAAAATCGTGCTTTTAACATCCAAAATAATGGACAATATAAAAATGTACTTTTTTTTAAAATTTGTAGTCTTTCAGTCAAATGCTTAGCTACAGATTAACACTGATAAAGTTTAGATATTTAGGGTTAACACGTTGAAGGCCACGCTAATTTTACATGGCTTGCCCGTCTGGCCACAACGGTAAACAACTACAAACTGAATTTGCAAATATTAGACAGATTTTGATTGCTTTTTGAAAGGTTTAGCATGACATATCTGAAAAAAGTGGTGAATATGTAGGCCTAAGAATTGTTTAGAAATAATGGTGGAAAATCTACTAAATTGAATTTATTAAACCAAGAATCACAATTAATAAACTACCAGAATTAACACTGATTAAAGTTTAGATATCTAGGGTTAAAATCGTGCAAAATAATGGTAGTTTTGATGTGGAAGATTTTGAATGCCGCTTGTGGCAATTTATTCGCCCCATCTTGAAAAGATTAAAATATTTTCAGGCTAACCCTAAAGTGCAAGAATACTACATGTTGTTTTTGTTTTCCCAAATGGCGGAGGTATGCAAAGAAAAAAAAATTCTTTTAATGTTCTAAGAGAATATTCTTTAAAAATGCGTGATTCATATCATTTGCGATACGATTTGCGTGAGATCAAACATTATAGAATTTGACAAATGGATTAAGATAACGCATTATGTTTAAATGTTGGAATGAAATCAACATCCCCCCCCCCTGTATCGATTGGTGGTGTTTGTTCTCTTTCTACCAATGTTCGGAAATAATGGACAATTACTACTAGAAAAAAAAAGTTTTAGTCATGCTGAAAAAAGTAACATAGTTTAACATTTTTAGAAATATAATACAATGTAATTTTATTTTCTAGGAATTTTTCTGCGCTATTACGGAAAGAAAACAACTTCAAAATGCGATCGAAATTTTTTGTGTCGATATTAATAGAAATATCAAAATGACCCACAATATAATATAAGCATTTTAGCGGTTTATCTAAATTATAAAAAATAAATATTTTTTATTTAAATTTTGACATTTATCTAATTATTTTAAATAGTTTCAACATTTCTTTAATGTAAATCAAATACTTATGCTTTTTTATCTACCTGTTATAGTGAAATAATTTTCTTGTATTGTTGCGTAAAAATATTTTCGGGATTGATATTGATTTATAAAACGCTTATGAAGCGAAATTTGCTTGCCCAATTAATTTTTAAAATCATTTTTTCTTATTATAAAATGATGGCCATATATTATATTATAAAATTATGGCCATAGAATTGTAGTATTGTGCTCATATATGACTTATGTTCTTATAAATTTCTAAACTCGGTTATCAAAAAACTTGTAAAAGAGTAAAACCCACCTAACTTGAGCCGGGGGTTGATCAAGAGATAGAAGGATCACCTCCCAATAAAGTGACTAGGTTTCGAATCCCAGCGATGGCTGATCGATAAGAATTTCGCATACAGCTCGCACTAACCACAGTGCTGACGTTAAAATATCCTCAGTGGACGACAAATGATGAGTTATAGTCCCCTTACTATAAGGCTAACCGTGGAAGGAATTCGTGGTTTTCTTCTCCGTGCAATGCAAATGCTGGCTAGTTCCGCCAATTTGTCCTTTACGCAAATAACATTTCTCTCAATACTTGATCCAAGACTTTCCTTGTCTTCTGGATTGGATTCAAAATTACAAAGATACGAAGTTGAGCATTTGTTGTTGTAAACTCAAAATTAGTTCGGCTGTTCAACGAAGGTTGTAAAACTAAATTTTAACATATGTTCAAGGTTCATGCCTTTCTAAAACTTAAATTGTATGTTGGTCCTCAATAATATTTTTTTCAGCGTTACGTACAACAGGCGTATTCTTTTAAATTTTTTTTTTTTGCTTTTTTTTTTTTTGCTTCATAATATGTAGAGAGTTAAATAATAATTATTGCTCTTAATAAAATTACAGTTTCTTTTATCAATATTTCCATTCAAAACATAAATAAAGATTTTATTTAGTATCTATGATTTTTAAGATTTTAATAACTATTAACAGTTCGTGATCGTTTTTATTTTACTTTTTAAATTGACTGTAGCAATTTTGATTTGCATTTCTATAAAAAGGGGGTCCCCATATTCATTTCATTTATTCAAATATTTTCATTAATATAAATAAAATGTTGCTTATTTAAATAATAATATGGTTACAATGTTTATTGTTCACAAAAACAAATAAGAGATTGTTTTAAAATGTTATTTGCTTAAATTAAATCATTAAAAACAGATTTTCTTTTCTAAATTAGAAGATTTTAAAATTATTGTATTTTCTATACATTTTTAAATAGACGAATTTTATGCACTGGTCATCAAATTGTTATTCTGATTCATTTTTTTACTACTACCATTTAGATTTAGAATTTATGATAAATTTAATACAAACTACTGTCAGGTCTTTAATTACTGTATGTCTTTCAATATGAAACGAAAATAATGAGTAAATATTATAAGTAAAACGTTAATTCTTCAAATAATTACCAAATTATGAGCAAGATGTTTGCGGAGGGAGTAGATATCGACAATGTCAACCTTCATTCATGAAAAGGTAACCCCAACATAAAATTGAGTTAACATGCCTTATATATTTGTGAATTGGAATTGTATTTCTGTAGTGGTAGACACACTACAGTAGTCCCTCACCAGTATTTTATATGCGATAGAATTCGATGAACGGATACCACCAGTTGATTCATTGCTGCTTTGTGAGAAGCCGGGAGAGCTGCTGTATTAAGATCACAGTACTTTTCGGTTCTGATCGTGAAAGCTGTATTAAGTTCACGGTCGTGGTCTCTCCTGTGTTGCTTTTAGCAGTCGAGTGCATACAGGGCGACGTTGCGTGTGATCGAGACTGAGTAGCAACAGCGAGGGGAGGTGGATAATGCCGCAGTCACAAGTAGCATGTCAACTGTTCAATGTGAACCATCCATCTTAGTAGGCGTGTTTAAATCGAAGTGGGAGTTTCTGTCAAGGTAGGCGTGTTAACATCGCGTCCGAAGGTCATCAATGTGGAGAGAGTAGATATTGACAATGTCAACCTTCATCTATGAAAAGGAACCCCAACATAGAATCGAGTTAACCGGTTAACGCCCAACTTCATATATTTAGGACAGTTCCATTTTTCAAAGACATTCATTGTGATGGGAAACTTTTTTCAGAATTTTCATTTATCTGGGTGAATTAAAAGATTCTCAGATACCACAATGATTTAGTTATTTCTGACTAGATCTAGAATTAAAAGAAGGAAGTACTTTTTGATCTATCAGACTTTTTGCATGCCCTAACAGTAAAAAAAAAACCCAATTAATTTCGATAATATATTATACCACCTTTTCCATAAAACCACTTCTTATATCATTTCAATACATAAAGTCGGGACAAAATGGGTTAAGATGTCTTATATACTAGTGAATTGGAATTGTATTTTTGAAGTGGTAGACACACTACAATGTTAGCTATTCTATTCAAAAAATAATATTACTGATAAGGAAGTATTGATTGCTAAGACTACAGTAAAAAATATTGAATTTTGCAAAAAAAATATTTTTTTTTGATTTACAAAATTAAGAAGCAAATTGTAGTTTTCTAGATTATTCAAAGGATGAGAGTTTACCTGGGAATGTAGAGGACCCTTTCGGCCACAACAAATCCAACCGTGACCAGAAGATTTGAAGCAGGTAGAAAAGAAAACACCATCAGAGACAGAGATAACAGAATGCGTCTTCTTTCCATTCCCTGAACGACAAAAAATTCAATGAAAATTATTTCCATTGAGAAAACTGTACTTTTAGAATAGTTTACTTATATTTACTTGTATATGTTACAGTGAATGACCAAAATCAAGAGAATGTCGACTTTCACAGGTGAATGTTAACAATCACATTGTCGCTTTGGTGAATGTCCGAAATATTTGCTATATCTGATATTAATTTATTCGTTAATATTTATTGGATATTTTAATATCTGCTGAGGATAGATTAGGAGAAACATCAGTGTTTGGAGTACCGGTTAAATGNTAAACTAGACCTAGTATATATTTTTAACATTTACCAAAGCGACTATGTGATTGTCAACATTCACCTGTGGACAACCACCCATTTTGGTCATTCACAGTAACATATACATTTAGAACAAGCTAAGGAACAAAGAACACTTTATGATTTATAATTTTTGTTCATTTTTAAATTTCTTCACATTGTTATTACACGCAATGTAAAGGAGAATGGCTTTATTGTATGTCATTTATATACAATATTTACATACATACATTGAGAAAGTTTTTGAATTATTAGATTTGGAATCATTTACTTTTAGACATTTAGAAAACATATTTAGGACAAATTAAGAGCAAGAAGACATGTTATGATTCAAAAATTTTGTTTGCATTGTTATTATATACAGTATAAAATTTAAACAATTTTATTGCCTGATATTTATATGCAAAAAAAATTTTTTTTACATACCTAAAACTTTAGAATCATTTACAATAAGTAGACCAATTTAGAACAAATAAAGGGGAAAAGGACGCGTTATGATCATTGTTCTTTGCTATATTTTAAACTGGGCTATTAACAGCTTTAAAAAAATTAGCATCCACATTCATGAAGACCTTCAGTTATTTTCCCTCTTTCTTTATAATTTTTCTCTCTTACATTTTTATTTTTTGCAAATGAAACAGTTTTTTGTTGCAGCATTTAATTTTGACGTCTTGAGTAAGAATTATTGGAATGGTTTTACCTAATGTTTGTCGTAATGCGCGCATTTGGCCATTTCATTTTGGCCTTATAAAGCATTTCTTTTAATGCAATTTAAAATTATTGATACATTATTTTTGACGAAAAGTGTTTATGGACTTTCAAAATATACAAATAGGACAAATAGAGCCACGATGGCTCAGGGGATAGAACATCCGTTTTCCAATGCGGCGAACCGAGTTCGAATCCCAGTCGATAGGAATTCCGCATCCGGCTTGCACCGACCACAGTGCTGACGTGAAATATCCTCAGTGGCAGACGGATCATGGGTTAGAGTCCCCTTATCGCCAGGCTAACCGTGGAAGGTTTTCAAAGTTTTCCTCTTCATGCGAGTTAAATGCGTGTTAGTTCCATCAAAAAGTCCTCCACGAAAACAAAATTTTTCCCAATACTTGACCCAGGAGTTCCCTTGTCTTCTGGATTGGGTTCAAAATTACTAGACTACGTAGTTGAACATTAGTAACATTAGTAAAACTTAAATTGAGTCTGTTGTTTAACTACAGTTATAAAATAAAATAATCATTATATAGTATTAATTACAAATTTTAGTACTTAATGCTAAGATTAAATAATAATTGCAACTACTAATAATAATTATCGCAATTTTGATTATCATCTATCTTGAATATAAAAAAAATATTATTAATAACAGCAAGTTCAGAAGGTGTTATCGATAAATGGCAAAATTCATTGGTAATTACTAAACTTATAGGATTATAATGACAAATTCTGAAAACTTATTATTTTTAAACGGCTGTTTTTAGTTTTTATCAATAATTCATGGTTACTATTATTATTCCTCTAACTATTGAAAAATACCGAATTTTACAATTATTAATATTCATCGCCTATTTCGATAAAATCTCAAACATTCTTTCCCTTTAACCTTCTTGTTTATTTGCTAATAATAATTCTCGATTAATTTTTCAAAACAAATACTTAATAGATTAGCTTATCATCTCTGATTAAACTTAGAAGATATACGTTTAGAACATTTTGTTATCTGTCTACCTGATATGAGGAAGTACTTGTAGGAAACTGATACAATCGAGTTGAGTTGTTCTCTCTATAATCTCCTTACAACAATCAAACGATATTTACAAAGCCCGCCTGAGACAATAAATATTTTTTCAGCAGGACCGCCTGCAGATCTCGTCTGATTAGATGCCACACCTCTCCCTCCTTTTTTTGGTTGATTGGGTGCTCGCAATCTCTCTATTTTTTTTTCTTTGTTGTTTATCCTGTTGGTTTTTCCTGATTATCCTGGCTTTGTAACGTGATCCCGAAGGCTCGTCATTCCTTTATTCGGTGAAGTTTGCGGAATCATCAGAAAATTGCCTTTGATAAGGAATGTCACGAGAGGAAAACGCAATTGGATTCGAACATATAACCCGTCTGATTTGGTGATCTTTGTTTGAAAATAATAAAAGAAAGAAAAAAAGGGTCTTAAATCGAAAACATTGTGGTTTGGACAACACATTGATAAAGGAAATAAATAAATCTGTTCTTAAACAAACAGAGTATGGATTTGGAGAAATGTGTTTAATTCCTGTTTCTGAAACTAAATTTAACATTAATGTATAGGAATAATACTACATTTAATACTCAATTAAGAAGCAAATTCTTGATTAACAAAATTAAGAAGCTTGATGACTAATTAGGAGTTTATCGAGCAACAAAAGGATCACTCATCGAACATTTATAGCTGGGAAAAGAAGTTTGACCAAATGCTGATCTATCGAACGCGTTTTTGATTTGGATTCCTTTGGCTGGGTCCATTTATTTAGTATTTTATTATTTCGATCTTAAGAAAACACTTAACATATTTCGTCGGAACGTATAATCATAAGTTGATATTTTTAAAATGTTTTGCGCCTTTGGCGTATGTCTACACTCCGTTGCGAGTTAAGAAAAGACCATTGTGGTATAGGATTTAAATAGTCATCCGCGAATGCAAATAGTTCCGTTTTATTTCGTTATCAAATCATGCAAATATGCTTTCAAGAACACTATAAGCTTTTAAAAGTTAGAGACGTTAGACCAAAATTTAATTCGTACTATCTTTTAAGATATATACTCATGGAATTATCAAAAAAAAGTTTTTAGTTTGTCTTTCTGGAATCCTGAACTTGGCGATACATTTCGATAAATAAGGAGAACATTCATTCTTGAAAAATAAACAACTGCATGACGTTGCAAGAGCATTGGATTTGATTGGACCATTAAAAATGGAACGTCTTATGATAACTTGCTCTTAACAAATCAAATGTGAGATAAAGAATTTTTTTTTACTTTTGCTTTGCTGTAGAAGAAATCGTCTGCAAGAAGCAATATTTATTATTCTTTCATCAGTTTCATAAAATGCGAACAGAAGGACGTAAATTTGTTACGATTTTTAGATATTTTAATGAATCCTAATTAACAAAAAAATAGTTTTTATTCAATGAGTTTTATTTTTCTCATTTCATACGATTTAAGAAAGCATGCACAAATAAGGCTGTGCAACACCGTCTTATGAGTTGGCGATGTTGATATACATTCGCGCTGGGAGCTTGCATCCATTTGGCATTCAATTCGATGCAAACAGGCTCTCTCCATAGCAATAATGGTTTTTTTCTTAAGTTGCAACAGAATATAGCAAATTTCGTTGAAAGGTATATTAGTTTCTGCTATTAAATATGGTTCTGTAAATTAATATCCCCATAACCGTCAGCCATGAAGTGATTAAAAACCCAGCCATTTTATCATTAATGAAATTGTAAAACTATTGCAAGGGAAAATGATAAATCGAAAGAAATTCTCCCAATCGTTCAGAGAAATGATTAAATATTTATTACTCACGCATTTATTTCAGCGAAAGGCTTCTTTTTCTTCCCCTTTCAGAAAAATCAAACAACTATTATCAGCATCTAAACACATTTAAAATAATTTCATCTACACTTTTAACAAAAGGGATTTTTGGGGAGAAAACTATGTATCGATTTGAGAATCTGCGCAAATAAATTCTATCATTTAAAAGCGGCACTTTTGTAATTGAATATTGGAATCCGGCAACAGCATTTACTTTTCTTTGGTCTTCCCTTCTGCAAGATTTATTCTGTCTTTAGCTCGAACCATTCCTTGAGAGTTTCCCATGCATTGTGGTCACTGAAAGAGCGTCAATATTTAAGGAGGTCTTCCTAATCGATTGCCCTTGCCATTTATTTTGAAATCGAATTATTTACTTCGATTGCTTTTAGAAAAGGGAAGAATCTTCTCCCTTTCCCCGAATACGTGTTTATCATACAATTTTAATTTTACACAAGGAAGAATGTTTTTATTTTTGATGATTCACTCGTTGAATGAGATCTGAGGAGGATTTGGAAAAGGGGAATCAATTGCGTTTGTTAAGTGGATATCGATTCATCGATGTTTCTTTGATTGCGCAGTGATTTTCAGTCGTTTTTACCTTTGATCTTGCCTCACTTTTCTGCAGATGAAAGATCAAACTTAACACACGCATTTTGAGAAGTAGTTTTGATTGTTCTTTTGAGGTAAAATTTCACTTTGCTAATATTTACGTATAATGATCTGGTTTATATTTCACTTCATGGGCAAAATAAACTGTACGAAATAATTTTAAATAAATTGAAAAATATAGAATTAAAGTAGAAAAACAAAACATAAAACTAGAAGAAAAAAAAAACCTTAGAAACCTTTATTTAAAAAAAATGCGTAACACTTTTTTTTTTTTTTTTTTTTTTTTTTTTTTTTTTTTNTTTTTTTTTTTTTTTTTTTTTTTTTTTTTAGACACTGACAGTTTTGCCCGTAAAAAGTAGTATTTTAACCTGCAGTCTTCTTCTCACAGCAAAACCAGTTTTTTCATGTAATTAAATAGGGAAATAGAGCACTGGGGAGGAAAATTATCCAACTTTTGCAAATTTGCTAAACAGCCAGTGTGTTAATTTTCTGCCTTTTTAAGATATACAGGGCGTTCCAAAATTCTCTTTACAACTTCAAAAATTCATAACTTCGAAAATAAACTAGATATTTATATTCTGTCTTTTGCATGTATTACTGCAACTAATAAGGTTTTGTTTAGTACACTTAAACACGCGCACCATTGGTGGCCCTAAGCATTTCCTGTCTGTAATCAATTTCAAGCCAGGTGATGTAAAGATAATTTTGGAACACCCTGTATTTTCTTTTAAAATAAAAAGATAGGTACTTTATTTACATCGTACTAGAGTTGCACAATGAGCGACGGTCAGGGAAACATCCCTCAGGATGATTCGAAGACATGGCATCGCAATTTTGATCCTCTGCAGAGGGGATGGCTCCCCTGCTTTGGTAGCTCGACGACCTGAATGCCAAGTCGAACACTTTACGGTATAACAGTTTAACGAGGCCCAATATCACGCACCCTCGATCCCTACGCTGGGTGATCAAAGTGGTCACCCACCTGCTAACTGACCGATTCGATGTTCTACTTGGAACAGTGTCTCAGCGATCAGTCCACTGCGGGACATAAAAACAAAAGAATTATAGATATTACAATAGTGTACATTGTAATATCTATTAGATATTACACAATTGTACATTGAAGATAGTGATTAATTTTGTAGAATAATTGAATAATTTACATCGATATTATGAATTGATGCGCAAAGCAGCCACTTTCTTCCCTTTTTTAAATGAAGAAAGTACTTTCAATTTAAAATAATATATCTTAAGGAATGATGAAGGAATTAATTCTCAATAAGGAATTATATCATTACTTATTGTTCTTTCTTAATGCATTCTTTCAAAATAAGAAAAATGTCGAAATTCCGATCAAACTTTCATAGCAATACCCAGACCGTCTGTTTTGACACACTTTAATTGGACGAATAATATCATTTTTTTGCTTCCTTACGCGATGCATTTTTCTATTGTAGCGGACATGAACTGTTTACAGCAGAAAAAAAAGGCGGAATTTCGATCAAATTCAAGCATTGTCAGAACGTCTGGCTTGGCAGCCTACAGCCAAAAGAAGGTTATCATTGCTTTTTTTATTAGTGCAAGTTTTTAATGAAGCAGACATAGTCTATTTGAAACAGAAAGAACAAAAATCTCTATCCAGATAAATGATATCATTGCTCATTAATAATTGATCAGTGAGCAATAATATTCTTTAGTCAGGGTGCGTAGCCAAATATTTGAACGAAAAATAAGCATGTTTTAAGTAATTTTCAAGCACTCGAAAAATATTTTTAAGCACTATATAAACTAACAAAATGCAAAATAATTTTCGAAGACTTTACATGATAAAATGTCTAGTTTCTGACAAAGAACTCTTTTCTTGATTATATTAGCCGTTATAAAATAATCGAGAGATTTTTCGGTTCGATATCAGAGGGTGGAAAATGAAGCCTGAAATCGAAAATATCTTGCAAAATGCCGCAGAGTTGCACATGTGAAGGCAATAATCTCACCGAGCCCAGCTCAGTAGACGCACATACCGACTCGCAAGTATTTCATCAAACCTGTAAAATGATTGGCGCTTACATACGCTATGGACCGGCTGAAAGGAATTGTGAAAACGTTGAATAGAACAATGTGAAATGCGTAATAAGTGGTGAAAATGGACATGGTAACTAAAAAAAAAAATTTCATTTTTGAAAAGGGAAAATGAAGCACTTTTTAAAAACACCCAATGAAAAAAGCACCTTTAAGGGCTTTTAAATAACGAAAATAAAAAATAAGCACCTTTTAGCACTTCTTACAAATGCTACTCACCATGTTAGTGTATATTTTAATAGAGTGAGCTGAATCTACTCGCAAAAAAATGACCTCTGATCAAATTTTGATAGTATTACTAGATCCTTATAACAAGAACTTAAGCGAGAGCTAGAATCAGTGAGAGCAGTGTAAGAAAATTTAAATCAAAATCGTTAGTAACATTACACTTGTGTATTGTGATCGACGCATATGTTAGATGTTATTTTTTATACTTAAAGCCTTTCTGAAATATCTTTCAAAAGCGGCTTCTAGCAGCCAGGTTTGTGTTGGATTGTTCTGTAGTTCCTTCTACCTTTGGGATTTCTGTCAAATACTTCTTTCAGTTTTTGTTAACTGCAGCAAAAGTATTTATGACAAATATTGCTTTCTTTTTTTTATCAGGACTTCTTAAGTCTATGTCTATTTATCAGACTGACCTTTTATATCTCTGCTTAAAATATTTATATATGTAGTAGAGAATAAAGAAACCCATTGCCTGAGTCGTAGCTCTTGTGCTACAGGTCTTGGGTTCGATTCTTGGGAGCGGGATAGGTTGAATCAGCCTTTCATCCCTTCAGCGGGTCGATAAAATGAGTACCAATCATGACTAAACACTAGAGGTTCAACGTTCGGTTGATCACCCAACCGGAACATCTGCTCTTGCACGCCAGAGGCCAAGCTCAAGAAAACTGAGATGGGCACAGTAGGTCTCGGCCCTCTGTGGGCTGTTGAGCCACTGAGATTGGTTTCGTAGCTGATAATTTTTTTTTAACTCTGCAATAAAATATTGTTACATAGCTTTTATTTTCTATGAGAAATTTTTTCTCAGTAACTATGGAAATTTCGTAGTTGCTGGAGGATATGCGTTGCGCCTAATCATGCATCAGGCTATGTACATTCAACGATTAAAGTTCTTCGATTATCGAATTTATAAAGTTCTCTTGGAGATTTATTAAATAACGACAAATATTTTTTTTCAATGAATAGTGCTGGAGCCGCAATTTCTCACGGGATAGAGCATTCGCCTTCTAATGAGGTGCACCTGGTTTGAATCCCAGCGATGGCTGGTCGATTCGAATTCCGCATCCGGCTTGCACCTACCACAGTGCTGACGTGAACTATCCTCAGTGGTAGACGGATCATGGGTTAGAGTCCCCTTGTAGTCAAGCTAACCATGGGAGGTTCTCGTTTTCCTCCTCTCCATGTAACGCAAATGAGAGCTAGTTTCATTCCAAGTAGTCCTCCATGAAGACAAGTTTCTCTTCATACTTGATCCAGGAGTTCCCTTGTCTTCTGGATAGGGTTCAAAATCACAAAGCTACGTAGTTGAACATTAGTAGACGTTAAACCCAAAAATTGGGTCGGCTGGTTATAGAATATAAAATAAAATGAGTAAGGCTTGAGGTAACACCTACCTCATCTTACCTGGAGGCCGGGGGTTGCCAGTGCTCTCACAAGAAGAACAGCCATCGTGAGGAGGTAAGCAAGAGAAGCTGCGTTACGTTTTTCCCAAACTTCCTCCACAAGGGGGATGCTCCCCATCTGCCAATCATAGGATAGTGTTGTCGGACAAAGTAATAACCACAAATTGAAAGCAGGCAGATAGAAATATGTAAGGATCCTGCACACAAAAGAAAAATAAATTAAATTGGGTTAACGGCAAATTAAATTGCTTACGGCAAAAAATATAGAAAGGAGAAGTCTAGTACTTAGAATACGTAACTAACTCAGGAAATTGCTTAGCTCGGTATGCTATACCAGAAAAACAACTTACTTACTACAACTATTGACTTGACCGTGGGCAGCAAAACTCAGATTTAACAGAGCATGCATATATTATATATATATATAGATAGATAGATAAAACAATAATAATAATAATAACTATTCTTGATATACATATATAAGTACAGAGCCCGTTATCCGGAAATTAGAAAACCGGAAAACCAAAAAACCAGAACGAAATTCGATAAATTTTCCCGCCATATTAAAAAAAAAAAATTTTTTTTTCCCTCATAAGATTTTAGGATTTTTTTTTCTTTTTTGAAAGATGTTTACCATCATTTTGGAAATAATCATTAGTGTGTTACTTCATCGTTTTTTCTTCTTTTTAAGATTATTTCCAAACAATTTTTTTTTAGTTGGGTTTAACAATAAAAAAACGGCTTTTTGTAGCGATTCAGAAAACCGGAAAAATCAGTTATCCGGAATAGCGATGGTCGTGATCATTCCAGATAATCGGTTCCCTACTGTAATAACTATTCTGTTCTATATCGCAATTTGCCTATAAGGATTCTAAGACTTATTTTAAGGAGAGTAAAATATCAGCAATTTATTATTTTTTTTAATAACAAATAATCCATTTTTTTAATCCAGTTGTTTTATTTTCGGTTTAGAAACATAGATTAAACAAGTCAGTATAAGCGGAAATTTCAATTTTTAAACGATATCACTATTATGTTAGCGCCTAATCTCGAAAGTCATTAATTAGCACATTCATATCCTATCATTAGATTAACTGATGTGCACACTTAAAGTGCTGAACCATGCATATTTTACCTAGATACAGTGCGCATTAACGGCCTCCGTTTCAGTTCATAATATAGGAATAGTTCAAAAGTTGGTTCCCTTTGTTCTATCAGCTAATTTGCTGATTGTTTTATTGTATTGACTTGATTCTTTAGGTACCGAAAAATAAATAAATGACATTAGGTTTCTTAGTTGTAATAAAATTCTAATTTCTTATTTTATTTTTTGTAACATGGTTTTTAAAGTGAATGATTACATATAAGTTTTGATTTACTCACCTTGTTATCCAAGATTGTGCAAAAGCAGCAGGGTTGTCCTCTTCACTAAATATAGGTAAGGTTCCATTTATGCTAAGTCTGAAGTACACTAGAGAGATCATCTAAAATGAGAATTTCAATGTCACATATCGCATTTAAGAAATGAATATAATTAAAAAGTTCCAAGGATAGACCAGATAGATCTAATTAACATCCATCATAACATGTTTAATTAGTATCAGTTAATGGTGAAACAAATATGTTTATATATTTTTATTTTCCTTAAAATAAAAATCATAAATTTTAATTGGAGCATTTTTTTTTCGTGTTTTAAATTAAAAAAAAAAATTAAATACTGTTCTTCATCAATTTTTCAAATAATATCAAATAATATATTTTTTTTAGAAGAATGAATAATAATAATAACAACAAAAATTTTTAAATAACGAACTTATCTCAACTTTTTTTAATACTTTGCTTAAACAGCATTTGATATATATTCGATAAAAAGCTTGTCATTGTAACAGGGTTTTATAAATTGTCGCTTTCTAATATTCAAATGTTTGTCTTTCCTTTGGAGCATTATATTTTACTAGGAGGCTTCGCCCCCTGCTCGCTGGCGCTCGCCAACCCCCGGAACTGCTTTCGCAGTTCATTTCGGATTGCTTCACAATCCGATGCTCGCTTTGCTCGCTCATTGGATACGTTCTTAACGTCTAGCTTTTGTATACTTTTTTGAACACTGAAGTTCCGAAAACTTTTCACTGTAGAAAATTCTAAACCTGTGTATTTCAATATTAATTTGAAATTGAAAACAGTTCGCATATTTTTCTTAATCACACTATTCTAAATTTCAGTTGTTGAGAAAAGTAACTGNTCAATTCAGAGGGCGCTGCGCGCGCCACGCACGCGCGATGGCTCTGAAACTTTATTAATTTGCATAATATCCTATAATTGACATTTGCTGCGAATTTCATTTGATTCTGATGATTCCTTCATGGTGTTGCATTTTCTACAAACAGCAGTTTAGATGAGCTCATATTTTTTCCATATTGCACTAAATAAATCAAGAGAAAATAAATCACCGAAATCAAGATAATGTCAACTTTCACCGGTGAATGTCAACAATCACATAGTCGCTTTGGTGAATGTCCGAAATATTTGTTATATCCTATTTGATATTAATTTATTCGTTGATATTATTATATTTATTCGATATTTTAATATCTGTTGAGGATGGATTAGGAGAAACATCAGTGTTCGGAGTACCGGTTAAATGAATTTCTGGGCATTTGACCTTAAAAAAACATTGATGTAGGACATACCGGGCAAATGTATACCAGGCAGTGGCACTTAACTAGACCTAGTATATAATTCGATTATTTACCAAAGTCAACAACCACCAATTACTGTCATTCACAGTAACAGCTATAAAACAAGCTTGTAACAAGAATACACTTTTACAGCTAAGATTTATAAATTTGAAAAACACATTGCAACTAAACGTTATCAGCTATTAATAAAAATCATTAAATGATTCGATTATCAAAGTTTATTATTCGTTTAGATTCTTAAAGGGTATAGGAAAAAAATATTTTTGGCCTTTCTCATAAACTGAACTTTAATGTATAAATTATCAACATGCTTTTACTTATGAAATAAACAATAGGAAGAGAAATATTTTAATATTAATGATGACTTTACTTTTAAGGCTCAGATACAATTAATTTACAGTAGTCCATATCGGGCATGAAAAGAAATTTTCTAATTTTCACAGATTTAAACCTTTAGTCTAAATTCAAATTGCTTTCTTATTTTTATTAAAATAAAGTAAAAATTCTCTTATTAAAAACAGATTTTATAATTAACTCAAATTAACCAATAATAATTTAACTCAAACCTTTTTGTGAAAGCTTTTTTTTGTTTAAAATACAATATAAATAAAGAGATTTTTTTTAAATTAATAAATGAGTAATTAAATCAGTTTTATTTTGGTACATCGGTCAATGAAAGACATCTTTTTTACGGTTTGGTAGATCTTTGCCAAATAAAATTTGAATTAACAATTTAAATAAAATTTTTTCAGTCCAAATAACAGAACGTACAGAAGACCTCTACACCACAAATAAAAGGAAGGAAGGAAAAAGAGGAACTATACAAAACAGAACAAGAACATTATTAAATACAAGGAGTAAAATATGATTTTTTTTCTCATATTGAAGCATCCTCCTCGCATTTTTAGATATGACATACCACATTAATTCGAAAAAATTTACATGTTCTAATGTAATACTTTTAGCCACAGCGCAAAAGTTATCTATAGCTGTATAATAGTAACAAGCAACAGATTTTTTTTCCTATTTGATTTTGATATGACTGTTTCAAGATACTAGGAATTTAAGCACTTGGAAAGTTTAAATTGAGTTTTTCATTTTTTCCAGAAAATATAATGCATATGATACTCCTCATAAATGCCACAGGCATCTCATGGTTATGCCATTAGTCGCCCCTCCATACTGTTCCTATCTCTGTTACCAAGGTTTCAGCAAATTTTGTCTTTTTCCCCATACAAATATATTCCAACTTCTTACAAAAATGAAATATTTTATTTCATAACCGTCGTTGAACAGCCGACCCAATTTTTGGGTTTACGACTACTAATGCTCAACTCGGTAGCCTTGTAATTTTGAACCCAATCTAGAAAACAAGGAAACTCCTGGATGAAGTATTGGGAGAGATTTGCATTCGTAAGGACTTTTTGATGGAACTCATCCGCATTTGCGTTACATGGAAAGGAAGACTACGGAAACCTCCAATGGTTAGTCTGACAGCAAGGGGACTCTAACCCATGATCCGTCTACCTCTCAGGATATTTCAGGTCAGGACTGTTGTCGGTGCAAGCTGGATGAGGAATTCGTATCACCAGCCATTGCCGGGATCGAACCCGGTTCACCTCATTGGGAGGCGAACACTATCTCCTGAGACATCGCGGCTCGAAAATGAAATAACACCGGGAAAAAACAAGATTTGTCGCAATTATCAAACAGCTGTGGTCGCCATAGCAACGCATGCTATGACGACGCATGCGCACTGTTTATTATTACTCTTGAACACAGTTGGAAAATGTGATGACGTCCATCAAACCCAAAACAACACGCATTTTGCCAATGGGTAAAAATAAGTAATAAATTGAATGAATGGATAATGAAATGTGAAAAAAAAAATCAGAGTAAGAACTTACCCCGAAAATTAAAATAAATATTCTGCCGACGATACAGAAGACACTAGTATTATCTAACGGCAGCGATTTTCTTTCCTCGTCTTCCTCTTCTTCTACTTCATCACTTGAATTATCGCTGAAATAAAACATAAAAATTAACACTCAAAATAATACTTATCATTAATGTGTTAAAATTACGAATCGTTACTCGTAATAAACAGCTTTTAGGATAAAACATTGGCATTAAAATTGTTTCATTTTTACGTCTTTTTTCAGCAGAAGTAAATTATCTGCTATTTTTCCATGCTTTTTTTTACTACAAGACGCATATTTTATTAAAAGACTTTTTAAGAAGCTATCTTGTCTTCTGAGTCGAATGCAAAATCTCATGCTTTCGAACTTTAAGTACCATTCACATGATATATGATTTCATTATTCAACAAAATAAATTAAAATACTTTCAAATTTAGTATCTGTAATTGAATTTGAAAAATATACAGGGTGTTACGTAAGAACCGTTCTTTATATATATTTTTAAATGGCTTGTCAAATATGAAGAAAAAGTTAACACATTGGAAGTCGTAAAATGTTATTAATATAAGCTAAAAAAATATTGAAATCTAACTAACCCCTCAATTGAGGAATACAAAACACGTTTGATTGCCAGGGTAAGAAGAGAGGAATTGAAAGACGATTATTAGAAACGCCTTCAAGGTTTTAACGTTCTGTTAACCCACCTTTACTTTTTGTGATTTGTCACATTTAAAAAGCAATTTTTGTTATTCTTCATTAATCTACCACTACAAATGCATAAATATTTTTAAATTCATTCTTGACGAAGATTCTAAATGTTGGTTTACCCAGTGGACTTACGAAGATGTATTTCAATTTTTGTTAATAGTTAACGCATTGAATGATAATAGAATTCCGTCCCCTGCTCGCTGACGCTCCCGGACACCCCGAAAATTGAAATATTAATTGGTTTGCTTTGAAAATCAAGCTTGTTTTTCTCACAATTAAGTTAAACCCGTTTGAAATGTGTTCTAGGTTAAAATCTTAGGAATTTAAATCAATATTTAAAATTTTGAAAATCCTCCCTCTTTAAAAATAAAAATTTTTTGAAAATTTTATGAACTGAAAGGCTGGTTGTTGCAAAGTTTTGCGAACAATATTTTCAATTTTAATGTTACAATAGGCTAAAGTTTGTTACACGTTACATTAATTAAAACAATTATTTATTGTCAAGAATCTTTTCTATCTCTGTCACATTTTTCACACTAAAGATTATTTCGTTCATAATAGCTTCAATGATTTTAAAGATGCTAATTAACGCTAGATTGTCTAAGGAAGTCATTTGGCTGCTTTTTAATTTCAATTCGAAAAATAATGATGTATTTTTCAAATTGAAATAACAATTGAATTGAAATAACAATTAAAATACGTAACAATAACAATTGAAATAACAATGACACAATTTCTTAGAATTTTTTCCCTTTTTGTACAACATGTAATTTTTTTTATTGTTAATATTTACTAATAACTTGTTATATAACTGTAAATAATAATAAAAATATTAAAAATAAATTTAAAAAAAATTTCTTTACACATTATTCTTTCACAATCATTTTGACTGCTTTTGGGCAGTCTTTCTAGTGTTAAAACCACTAGAAAAATGTCAAAGTAATTTTGAAAAAGAAAATCATTATTTTATCAGTCTACTTTAAATAAGTCTAATAAACCAATTTTAAAAATTCGGTCATTTGATCTAAAGTGACCAAGTTATTCGATAGTTTCATTTTTAAAATGTTCTCCTAAGAAACATTTAAATTACTGTTTATGGCATAAAACTTTCTTTTTCTTTTTTTTTTGGTGACTAAATGTGGACAGGATGCTTTTTTTATTTTACTTCTTTTCACTTTTTTTTACTTTTTGCAAACGTTCCGTGCAGAAATACAAGTTTAGTGCGTGATGCTTTACATTAATGTTGTTTTTATGGATCGGTTTGTACACATGTTTCTGGTCAGGCATGGTCAAGCAATATTTAAAAAGAAATTGCGCATGTTTAAAGACGAGTGGTTTTTTCATAATTCAAAAAAGGACATGAAATATTTTGTTAAGAAACAAATGACTCAGAGAATAATGCATGTAACTAATCGAACATTTTTCGATATTTCGTAATCGACATGGCAAAATATCTATATATGTTTAATAGGTAGTGTTTTTTCTCTCAATATTTTTTGAAAGTTTCAACAAACCCAAACATGTTGAAACACGCCTTTTTTAAATAAAAAGAAAAATATTAATCAAATTGTCCTAGAAAACATTTGTAATAGTAAATATATCTTTACTATAAAATATACCATACCAATTTACTATGTAAATATTTTCTTTAATTATAAAATTTTTTATAGTTAAGAAAATATTGATAATATGTATAATAGTAAAATGAAAAGACAGTTAGTGCAATATTTTAATTCCAATATTTTAATTTGGCCATTCAAGTGGTAAGTGTGAGAAACGAATTTTTCTCAAAACATTACAATTACGCATTGTTGCAATTTAAACTGTATAGATCAGTGGTTACCAACTGGCTGCCCGTGGGCCACATCCGGCCCGCGAAGCCTTTTTTTGTGGCCCTCGAACTAAAATATATTAGTTGCCCTTTTTCTGCTGACAATTTTCGTAAAAAACTATACGGGTTCAAAATACTTTTCTTTCGTTAAAAAAAACAACTAATTTCTTCGTTTCTGTGAAATTTAACATACCAACGGTGTAAAAAAATTTATTTCTCATGTAAAAATCTACTTATTTTAATTTGTAATTTAATACTTTTGTTTTGTACAACTTGATTAAAAATTTGACAGTAATATTTAATGTTCCTTCAAACATAAAAGAGTCCTACATAAAATTCCTTTCCTTTTTAATTGTTTTAAAGGTAACATCAGTTATCAATTCATTATATTTAAAAATGAATGCCATGAGGATTTTATTCCATGTTTCTTAATAAATATTTATATTTTTTATTAATTCATGATACTTAAGGGCAGGTAAAATCAATCTGAATAAACGAGTAAGTATTTTTAAGGAGTTTAACAATAGCTTTCTTTTTTTATGTAGAATATATAATTAAAAAAAAGAAAAATTTTATTATAATAGAAAACGTATATTTGTAATTCCATAAATCTGAATAATGTAAAATGTAGTGAAAATGCATCAAGATTTAGGTTATGCACTAAGAGCAGATTCAACAGCAAAATTATTTGAATGTGGTGAAACATAACTGTGACAAAAGCTTGACCATATTCATGAATGGCATCTTCTTAGTGCCTAATTAATTAATCTTACAAATTAATCATTTTAATTAATTTAATCTTAAGAGTGCTAAAATGTAACGAACAAACAAACAAACGTTTCAGAATATGCGTATCAGAAACTTATCACTATTGCGGAAACAATGAAGCATTTCGAAAACGTTTAAAATGTTCAAGAAGAAATATTTATTGTTTATGGAAATATTATGACATTAACATTCATACTTTAAGATTTTCAACCATCTCATTTTAATACCTAAAAGCTGATTTCAATATTAACTTCAAAAGTCCAGAATTCTTAAAACCTTTTTAAAATGTTTTTAAATCCTAGTATTCCAAAGATGTATCAGTAACGTAATTCCGAGATCTTATTCCTGATTGCAAAAAAGAGGACATTAATATGTTTTTAGGAGTTCTGTTTTGAGAATAAAATACAGAAACTGATTTTTTACCTAAACGTCAATAACAAAAAGTATCTATAAATTACTAGATTTAGTCAAAAATAAAAATGAATATTTGGAATTATTTTAAGAATTAATATTATATAGATGGGTAGTTAAGTACTTTATTTACGTCACACTAGAGCTACACAATGGGCTATTGGCAACGGTCAGGGGAACATCCCCGAGGATTATCCGAAGTCGAGCACTTTACGGTAGAAGTTTACCACCCACCCTCGGTCCCTTTGCAGGCTGATCAAAGTAGTCACCCATCCGCTTACTGACTGCAGCCAGTGATGCTTGACTTCGGTATTCTACTGGGATTACTCCACTGCTGGACAATATTGCACAGAATTTTTTAATAATAAATATAAAATTATTTAAACGATTGTTATTATTTTTTAATTTGAACTCAAAAATTTGTGCTTTTAGAGGCCGGGCATCTTACTTTACCTAATAATACAAATTTAAATATTAAAATCAGACGTCCCGAATTCTTAAACCGTTTGTAAAAATGTTTTTAAAGATTATTATTGTAAAGAATCGTGGCAGTAACGTAATTCCACATTTTAAATGATAATTGCAAAAAAGTGCACATCTCGATGTTTTTAAAAGTTCTTCTTAAGATTATAATACAGGAACTGACTTTATGTTACAGACATTTAGCTTTCTATTAATTAGTACATTTCATTTAAAAAAAACACATATTATTACCCATCGGCAAAATGAGTGTTGTTTTGGGGTTGATGGCGTGCGGCACCTTATTTGGACGTCTTCACACTTTTCAACTGTGTTCAAGAGTAGTAGCAAACAGTGCGCATGCGTCGTCATTGCATGCATTGCTATGGCGACCGCTGCTGTTTGATAATTTTTTTTTTAGAATTCTTTTTCTTCTTTTTCTTTTCACTAGCAGGCATTTTTAATGTATTTACATAATAATAATTTAAAACATTTTTATATTCTTTTTATTAATTACTTATAATTACTGTCTTGATGGTGATTTCAATATAAATAAGAATACTGAAAAAGGAAAAGTATTTTGTGATATCTTGAAACGCGTACATAGGCAGGATTTGAAAACCAATCCGACGACAAACATCCATTGAGACAGTTTTTGCAACACAAGATTTCAAATGTTGTGGCGTTTATTGGAGTCAATCCAGAAAAGAAAAACATTTGACCAATGGTTAACCAGTGATCGTAACGTTTCACAATGTTTTACTTTTTAACTAACCTTTCGACGCAGAATTTTCTTTTATTATAATTTTGATTCCTTTTAAATTTTACGCAGATTTAACACTTTAAATGTTAACCCAAGTAAAAATTGCCTCTAAAAGGATATCAAAGTCACATTTGTGTCAGAACATATTTACAAAATAATATTA